GGTGTTTCTGACGGCTCTTTATTTAGTATATATACTGTCTCTTATACACATCTAGATGTGTATAAGAGACAGTTCTGAACGTATCTGGACGGTTCCAGGTACATTTCGACTGTTGCGTCATTAAGGTAGGCCGACACACACACACACACACACACACACACAGCCATGAGGGCAGCGTAGTGTTGGTAGCGTGATGATCACCCAATAGCGCTCGTTGCTGGGACAGGCTCACGGCAAGAGAGGCGCTGGCTGCCATAGCTCATGTGGCAGTTTCCAGTTTCTGCGATTTTGGAAGGGCGTGCACACTGCACAGGGCACGATCTATGGTCAGCATACGCTGATGGCCACTCAACGCCCAGGCAGGAGAAAAAGCGCCACTCGGCGGAAGCTTAGGTGTTCGTCTCTATTTTGATCCTCTTCTTCGCTGTTGGGGTGAGCGATGGCGCTTGTGGTCCAGGGTTTTGCCGCCAAGTTCAATTGTGGTAGGATGATCTTGTGGCAAGCTCTTGGTTGAAGGCAACATCTCCTCCATCGCCATCCTTGGAGTAATTGTGCATCGCCGACTGCAAAGGAAGGAATTAGCATGGCCACACAAAAGTAAGGAGGCGGGCGTCGTCAAAGAGCCTGAAGGAGGTAGCCGCCTCCAATTGCTCACGGCTTTCTTCCTGCTGCACCAGGGTGGCGGACCTTGACGAGGCAGGCTTTCGGCTTGTGTTTTCACTTCGGCACTGGTACATCAGGCTTGTGTCTTCACTTCGTCGCTGGTATATCGCGGGCGCTTCATCGAGTGGCGGCGGGACATCCACTCCACGTGTGAAAACGGTAGGTGCTTCTGCGATTTCCCTGTGCTGTCGCTGGACCAAGTGCTAACTTACACAAACCTAACCTGCGATTGCCGGCCAGATACCCTGCGAAATAAGGTCGCCTCTGTGTGTCATTCTTGCTAATCACAGACACTGTCGACATACAGTATTACTCCTTCTCTGTTGTCTTCAAGCTCATCGGCATTTTCGGAGCAAGGAATCGTGTGTGCCCATCCGCTCCAGTTGTCTCTTTATCTGGTCTTCTCCAATCCAACTGTCTGTTTTTTTTTTTTCTTTCTTCTTTTGATGGATCACGAATCAGATATTAAACTGATAAGAACAGAGACTAGATTTGATCTTAGCGAAAAGGCCGAGAAAATGTACATAAATCCAATCCAGCCGTCTTCCTCATGCTGACAAGGCAAACTTTAAGGTGGAGAGAGTGAAGAAAGAGGTGGGGACAGGGAGAAGGGAGAGGGAGCGAAGTTTGGTGTCGGTCTTTGTGCAGGATGAGCGTCATTCGGGAGCTTGGCCATATTTTTTCCGAGCTATGGTCGGTCGATGTCGATCGATATTTCGTCACCACACGAGTCTTCACCGTGCTGCCTTCTTACACGCATCTGGCACGGGATCCAGTCCATGTACTCTCGGATTACTTGCTCGCTCCCTGTTTCTCGTTATTGTACTCCTTTTTGGCTCGTATTGCTTCCTGTACTTCTCTTTTTTTGGTTTTTAATTATGTACTTGATCCTCTCTCGATAATTTATGTGTGCCATCCTTGCACAGGGGCCATGCTAATCTTCTTTCTCTGTATCGTTCTTTTTTTTTTTTTTTTTTTAATCGTTCTAACTTTAAGTTTCACGGATGTCGTCGAGACGGACCTCCCTGTATTTTTCTTTCAATTACCTCACATCCGATTCGGCTGCTTACCTTCTTCCCCCGAATAGAGCGTACGGCCATTTCTGGTGCATCTGGACTACGAGGTGAGCCAGATACGGCTATAATGACCGTACGTTCTATTCGGGGGACGACGGTAGTTGTGTCGTAGCAGCAAATTGAATACTCTCGCAAGCCGATCTTCGTCAGTCTCTTCCCTTATTCCTCTTCATCAATCCCGACGTGCTCGTCAAATTGAATCCGCAACAGGAAAAACGAAGAGAAAAGAAGGAATGGGAGGGAGTAGCAAAAGTGAAGAGAAAACCAACGCCTCAAGCTCTGTTGGTACACCGGGCCCATGAAATGTTGAAATAGTTTCAGGCCCAACTTCGAATCTGATGAGGAGAACAACATATCCTTACCTGGTTGCCGGGGGCCAAGTCCCACTTACACTGATTCTTCATTTCTGGTCGTTGATCTTCGTAATCTACAGTCAGAAATTGAGAATTCGGGTAAGTGGGGCTTGGTCCCGGTTCGAATCTGTGCTTGCACGGAGGGGGGCTTCGGCCCAGATGTACTGATCCATAACTACCGTGGAAGGCGCCCGTGATCTGCCCAGCAGCACGGCCTAAAGTATCCCCCGGAGAAGTGAGCGGGCTTAGTAAAGTACCAGTGGGGGTTACGTGTAGATTGGAGCGAAGTGTGCGAGACGGTGGGGTTTACGTATTGATTGGAGCGAAGTGTTGTGCGAGAACTGTCGTGTCCGTGGGTGTTGACTGTGGTGTGCGTCGAGTTGGACACTGCAGCCCCTTGCAGGGGTGGGGTGGATATCAGGACCCGTATGGTTCCAATTTTTTGGAACACGGTGTCGTGGCTGTAGTGGTTAAACAACCAGTACCTCGCTCAGCTATCAAGTCCGAGGCTCGGACTACCGGGAGCCCGATCATCCCCGAGCCTCGGACTTTATTGCCGAGCCGCGGACAACCGGTAGTACACAACCGAAAAAG